AGATGTATGCTCATGATTTGGTGTCGATCCTGGAGCTGGAAATAGGCTTGTAGGATAGATGGCTTCAATGTCCTTGTGTCTTCATCAATTAGCTCGCTCACTGAGGTGGTCTGAGTAAACTGGGAGATGGGTGAGATAACCCTATGATTTGAGGAGGTTGACACCCATTTATTGATCCAAATATGCACCTTATTCCCATTTCACATTCTCCATCTTAGACCCTCATGTAGAATTCCTTGGGCTGCTAGAATACTTCGCCACACATAGTTTGGATTGTAACCAACTTTGCTTTGACTAAGTCTCTATCAAGGTGGTACTTTGCTTTAAAGATTCTTCGCACCATAGAGTTATGATTCTGAATTATGTTCCACAATTGCTTTCCAATAAGAACAAGGTTGAATTCATGAAAGTTTGTAAATCCCGAACTCTCTTTCTTTTTCAAGCGACATAGCTCTTTCTAACTGATCCATGGTGTCATGTACTCCTATTTCTGCTGACCCCACCAGAAAGTTGACAAGAGAATTTGGATTTTGTTAATTACTGTGACACTAGGAATACTTGCATTGCGTATGTCATTTGTGCTTGAGCCACTGCCTTGATCATCACTTCTTTTCCCCCATATGACAATAGTTTACTCTTCCATAGTTTCACCTTTTTTGAACTCTGTCTACTAGGTAGAAGAAGTAGACCAACATATTTAGCATGATATTCAACCACATTTATACCCATAACAACCACCATCTCCTGCCTTTCAGTTTCATAAACATTAGGGCTAAATGAGATTTTCGATTTGGTCAAATTCACCTTCTTCCCCGATTCTTCCTTATAGAGATTATGATGTTACACAGCTCTTCACATTCTTGTCTAGTGGCTTTTGCAAAAAGCGCACTATCATTTCCAAAGAGGAGGTGTGTTATGGGAGGGGCACCTTCTTTAACTTGGATACCTTCAATTTTCTTCTCCCTTTAGCATTGATAGCAATGTTGACAATCCTTAGGGAGTTAGGGTGATATGGGATCACCTTGCCTGAGTCCTCGAGAGGGAAACAAAGACACTGTTGAGACACATGTCATTATCATAATTGTCCATCTGTCATGAAAACCTAGTTTCCTCATTACTACTTCTAGAAATTCCTACTCAACCCTATCATAAGCTTTAGAGATATCAAGTTTAGTTGACATGAATTCCTTTATGCTTTGGTTTCTGCCTTCACTCAAAAGCTATCATCACATTGTTTGTGATCAGTCGACTCGGTGTTAATACACTTTAAAATTCAGTGATAACCTCATTCAAAATCCCTTTCAATCCGTTAGCCAAAACTTTAAATAGGATTTTGTATAATACTTTGTAGTGATTGATGGGACAAAATTCTAGATGGGAGAAGCATGGAACGCCAACAACAGGTCTTAAAGTGTTCAACGAACTATTTTAAGATCATTTTCTCTGCAGGTAACTTAATATTCTTCAAATAAGATCATTGATATCATTCCACGATGAGTGACACACAAAATGAATGAGGAGCTTCTCAAACCATTAGCACAAAAGGAGATTTGGAATGCCTTAAGAAAAATGGGACCTCATAAAGCCCCAGGAGCATATGATATGTCTGCCTTGCATTGTTGCTGGAAGGATTTTTGAGGAGGCCCGGATACATACCAAACATCCCTGAAGGATGGAACAACATGATGAAGAAGACGGAGAAAGTACAAAGGAAAATATGGGAAAAGAACAATGAGATCTTTAGAAAGGGGAGGCAAGGAAGTAGTACAAATGTTGAAGAGGAGACAACCTGCTCTTGAACTTAAGACTATCAACGTCACATGCTCGATCTAGAAATCTTGAAAAATTGTTTTGATGAACTATCACTAAACTCAAAAAGAAATAAAAGAAAGACACCACACTCTCTTTTTTTCGTGTGAAAAGAAATGGGCGAGCCTCCAAACTTCACTATATACCCGAGGAAGGCCTATTTATGGGACATCTTCCCTAGTCTGATTCTGGTCATAGTTCGAATGCTTATTTTGATACTCCAAACTTTGGTAGGATTCTTTCGGGCGATAAGGGGCTTGGTGGGAGAGGACGCGTTGTGCTCGTAGCCAAAGTCCCTGCCTCATCCTCCAACTCCCTCGGGTTCGATGAAGCATTTTATTGAATAAGCCATCGGTCAATCCAAGATCTAGTCCAGCCTCTCCCAGCCAGCATGGGAGAAGCAGAGAGTTTTGCGAGTCAAATCACAACCCTCGAATTCCCAGCCCACGAGAAAGATCGCAATCATGTAGTCGGCATGCGATCTCCCCCTTGGACAAAGAACAAAACGGAAATGCTTGAAGATAGAGGCCTCTCTGCTCAAGATCACGCCCGCGAACTTTCCCAACATGGCCTCTAACTTGTCCAAGACCTAAAACTCTATAAATAGAGGATGCCTTACCCCATTCAAGTGAGATGATTTTGATTGAAATTTCTTGTCTTTGAGAGAGAAAGTAGAGACAGAAGCTTAAGGAAGGAGAATAAGAAAAGTAGGAGAAGAAGGAAGGAGCCATCTTCCCCATCAAGTCTTCTTCATTTCTTCAATGTTTCTTCTTACCTCCTTTATGGAGTAGTTCTCTAAGATACTAGGGGTAAACACCCCAAATCCAAGATTAGGTTTTATGAATGGATATGTTTGTTTAGTGATTTTATTGCTTCACTTATGCTTGGGTAAGTTTCCCTACTTTTCCCTATTAGCCTGCAATTGAGTCATCTCTAGGTCGGAGTTTTAGGGTTAGACTGGGTAGCGGCAATTGGGAGATTAATGGTAGATGAATGTTTATAGGGTCTTGTAGTGGACGAGTCGACCTTACCCCTGCTACAAGAATGCCTTCCTAGAAAAAGCTTTAGGGGAACACAAGCGTGTATCGATCCGTCTCTTTAGCGTGCACGATAGGTAGAACTTATTGAAATGAGCTAAAGGTTTAATGCCCCAAATACATGAGCCTTAACTGAGGTGACAATGGGTCTTGGGGGGACGTACTCGAAGGAGTGGGATAACGACGAAGGCCCACAAGATTAGAGAGCTCATGCACCATATCGATAAACCCAACATAGTTAGTCGTTTGCATGTTAGACCTAAGATAGGGCGAGGGAGTTACCCCGAAGTACCTACTTTTATCTCTGTTTCTACCTTTACCTGTAGTTCAATTAAAACCTCCAAAAAAAACCTAAAAATAAATAAATATGTTAGTTAACAATAAAGCGAGAAGTAAGCTAAGGTACAAAAACCCGTGGAATACGAACTTGATCACCACTATATAGCAACACAATCTCGAGTTAAACTTGGCCCAAGATTGGGTAGTTATTTAGACCGTGCAAACAACAGAAAATGACTCGCATGGGAACGATCAAAAATTATACATGTATTTAGATCCCTTTTAAGCCTCTTTAATTGGTCATTTCAGCAATGATTTATATTTTTTCGATTTTATGTTTGTTTTGTGGTTTTAGTGTGTTTCTAGTCATTGAAACTAAATTTGAAGATATTAGGACAAGAAACACACTAAGGATGAAATCAGAGTTCAACCTTAGTTTTTGACCAAAGAATCATGAGAAATTGTTATGGTACTAAAGAGGATGAGATTATGAGAGTCTAAGATCAAACGGGGACTGATTCGGAGTTCAGATGGCAAGAACAAAACAAAGGAATTTATACCGAATCACTCACGGGTAGACCCACACTCGTGGACTCCCCCAAAACAATGTAGCATTCCTATTTCGACTCGCGCAAGGACCCCATTCTTAGCCCACGCCATAAGCGGACATCTGTCTTCACTATTTATGTTTATTGTTTTTGTAGGTGTGTGTTTCATTGCTCATCCGTTTGATGTCTCTTCAACGATATTGAGGATTTGCTTGTCATCGAACCTCAAATATCCTCCTTCATCTTGTTGTCTTGTGGGATGCTATGCTACATAATTCGTGGCATAGTCACATGGTCACATCCTTTTTATGGTTTTATTTAACTTTATGTAATGCTATATGGTTTGCTAATGCTATATGGTCACATCCTTTATGTAATGCTATATTGAGGATTTGCTTGTCCTCTTTCAGCCAGCGCTTGATCCATTACTTTTTCTCGTTTTTCATTTTGATTTTGTCCTTTTATTTTATTACTTCTAATAATTATTATCTTTTTATTTTCTTTTTTCCTTTTTATGTTTCCGGTTACCGATTTACCTTTTGTCCTTTTGGTTATTTCTGTAATCCGGCCTTATTTATTATTTTGCTTTTAGTATTCCATGTTAGTATTATCTTTTATTTTCTTTCTTTTTTATTTATGTTGGTAGTGCATCTTCAACTTGTGACATGTAGCAAGTCTCGAGTTTACCTCTTCAAATTGTTTATTTAGTCATATCAAAGAATTCTCAAGGATATCCACAGGCTCCATCGACTTATGAGGTGATGGAACTCTTTCATTTACTTTTGGTAAATCCTATTATGGTGTTATCAATGCTTACATATCAAAATTATTTGTCCTTAGTGATGCTACGAGATGGTATCTTACTCATAGTGTTTTCATTGTCACATGTTGTGAGGATTCTTAACTGGTCAGCATGGATCCTACATCGAGAAAGTCCTCCCTTCTCGGAGCCGAAGCCGGAGCCAGTTACAGGGAAGTTTTCTTTCTTTTCCTGTCCTCGTGTCAGTTTCGTGTCTTTTCTCTCATTGGAGCTTTCTCAGAGCTGCCCACTAGTGGCATAACATGCTCTTTCATCGGGAGTCTGATTACATAGGCTACCGTTCTTTATTATTATATGTTTTGTATACTTGTTGTCCTGCCATGACTGTGGGGCTTATTTTGGATAAAAAAATCTCATAGAGACAATTCACAATCCAAAAAAAATCAACTAAATTACGCAAATCTTTGCTGGTGCTTAATGATGAAAGCAAAAAAGACCAATTTTCATAGACATCCCTTTGTCTCCCACCCTGTGTCCCACCTATCATTCTCCAAAACCCATGTCAGCCCGATGATGTCTCATTTATGCTCCATTCCTTTGTGACTCCTCTTTATAACCCCCTTGATCATCAAAAAAAATTACCATTTGTGACTCTTCTCCTATGATAGTTATATAGCCCTCTCTTTCTACTTATCTTTCTATCTCCGGCAAATAAAAAATCCCATACAGAAAGAAGAACAAGGACAAAAGAAGAGACATGGTGTTGAAACATCGGTTTAGATTATCAAACATGATCCCGAATGGATGGTTTTACAAGCTCAAAGACATGAGCAAATCTAGACCTACCACACTTCATCGCCATCAACAACATTCATCTAAGGAAAAGCCTTCAGCAGCAGCAGCCACAAGGGCTCCACAGCTGCCAAGGTACTCCTACTTGTCAGCGAAACCGGCCAGAGCTACGAACCAACATCATTATCATCATCATAAGCTGTACAATTCACCTGTGAACCACAAGGCATCAGACACTCAGCACCATGCACCAAAGTCTAATTAATTCATTGTCTAAACAACAAAACTCAATAAGCATACAGTAAGCTTAGCAGAACATATTCAATACAATCCTGATAATAGCTCATAATTCATTCCCAGTTGGCAACAAAAACCTGAAAAGATGTCCCACTGCCAAACTTGCTAATCCAACCTAGTGATTTCACCCCACATTGACCAAGCTTTCTTTGTAAACCAAAATCCTGCGAGCTACACAAATATCATCTGCGACAACTTTAGTGGCCTGAGTAGCAGGGTCGAACAACAGCAACTCATGGATTCTAGAGCTACCAAAACCCCTAGCAAGAACAAGCACATCATCCCTCCACCACCCTACCGCAAACATAAAAGGTTCTTCATGAATCAACTCGTCAGCACAAGTACCAGCAACGACCACAGCAGCAACATCCGTCTTCACAGCAGGTGGAATAAATGGAGCAACAGTCGAGTTTTTCACCCAACACCATTCTTCACTCAGTAACCACAAGTCGTAACCACCGGTACTCTCCCGGAAAAGAAAAAAAGCAAGCGTATCCTTGTACACAAGAAGCTGTTTACGATGACCCTGAGCATACATGGTACAGTTAATGGGCACCGGGTCGTTAACCACACGGAAAACCTCATTCTCAAGGTCGAATGCCAGTGCTGCAACAGGAGATATACAAAACCAGAAACAGAACCCATTCAAGTAATTGTAAGATTGGACGAAGTGGAGTATATAAAGTTCAAGCCGCAGCTCTTCCAGCTCCCTCCAAGTATCAGTGCCCGGTGTGTACACCACCACTGTTGCAGAAACTTCGGGAGTGGAGCGGGACAGAAAAACGGACGAGGGGTCAATGTACGTCTGCGAGTAGTGCCGAATCATAACTATCTTGAAATCATTAGCCGCTGGATCTAGCCCGAACCCATAGCTGTCGTAATAGTGGAATCCGGTTCTCTTCCGGGGCGCCGGCGGCACTGAGATTTCCCTAGATTTGCCAGTTGCTGGGTTCCACAGGCGCACGAAATCTTTCGTCTTTCTATAGGCCATCAGAAATATGCCGTTGCAGGGTCCGGAGACAATGGGCATTTCACTTTCCAGAACTTTTGATGACACATGATCACCGTGATGATCAGGAGAGAATAGCTTAATCCGTGTGTAGTCGTCAAAATATGGCGCCTCGCGTACCATCAGGAACTGAGAGGCAGCGCCAGCCGGGCCGTTGGTGTAGTTTCTCAGGTGCATGGAAACCAGGGAGGGGCTTGAAATTATGGCATTCCAACTTTTACAGACGGATTTTAGCTGTAACAGATCTCTAGCTGGGAGCCTAACCAGGATCTCCACTAGCAGTTCTCCCAGCAACTCATCCACGTTGTTAACCGCAGCAGGTTTGAACAAGGTCAGACCTTTCTCTTCCCCCTGTGAAAAAAACATTGAGGACAGAAGCCATTTCACAAGCAGAGCCAAGAAAGAAAGAGGGAAAAACAGAGAAGCAAATAGGCAAAGGAAGGCAGCAAGACTAAAACAGCAGCCAGAGAACCAGCAGACGCTCAGAACACCCACACACATACAGCCAGCCGGACGGACGGATATATCAATCAATTGATTAGGTTTTATAAAGATCGAGCTGCGGATCCAGATATAAACTACTCCAATCAGTTCAGGGAACAAACTATTCATCAAGGATGAGATGCGATACCTCGATTTTGATCTGGCTATTACGTCTCCCCGACGAAAAAGCAGAGATTCCACTGACAGCTTGTCGAATCATCGAAACCGGAGAGCTGACAACTGTGAGGAGAAACGGATACACTGCCAGGACATGAGTCGCCCAATTCTTCATTTCATCCATCGCCGATCCGTACGCTGATCCTCAACGGTATCCGGAACAACTGCGTCGTGGGTGCTCAAGAATTAACGAGGAAAGAAAGAGTTCTGGGAGAAAGAAAGAAAAAATTGAGGGGAGAGAGACACTTCTGGAGTTACCAAGCCATCTAAGATGGACCATGTGAAAGCACAAAGGTCTGTTTCTGATCATAGGAAAAGGACCAAGTCTAGTCCTTCTCCAAGCAAACCCACATGGAATAAGAAGTACTCTGCCACGGGGATAAAGCTGAAGCCCAAACCGCCAAGGAAGCTTGCAAGAAGGAAAGTTCAGGATAGTAGGAAGAGTACTGTGACAGCATGTTTATCAGCAGCAAGAGGCAACAGAATTGGAGAGAGCGTTGCAGTTGTTAAGTCGTCAGTTGATCCTGAGAGAGACTTCATGGAATCCATGGTGGATATGATAGTGGAGAATGGAATCAGGAGTTCAAGGGAGCTTGAAGACCTTCTTGCTTGTTACCTCTCCCTCAATTCCATGAAGTACCATGATGTCATAGTCAGGGCATTTGAACAAATCTGGTTTCACATGTCTTAACAATTAACATAGTCCTTGTATAACTGAGATGTATGTATGTATGTATGAATGACAGATGGATAGTGCCAGCTTTCCTTAAGCTCCTATGGCCATTAAAGCAGGCTAATCTTTGATGGGCATGACAAAAAGTTGTGAACTTTGTGAAGGCCAATGGTTTCTTAAATTAGGGTTTGAATTATTTGTCATGATTGATCAGCTGCATGAGCCTGAGGTTTCTGAGTGATTGGGGCCAAAAGACAGCAGCAATAAGCAGCAGTTGACTTGGCCTGTTACCATGCCTCCAAAGTATTAAGTAATCCCCTCAGAACTAGTGAACTACATACCATATAGAGTTACTTGTTCTCAGTAGACCCTCCCACACGCTTCATCATATCCTTTACTTTGCTGCATTCTCATTATGAATTCCATAACTCAAAAAAGAAGGGCAGAGTCATAAAACAAACACCACAATGACTGGCTCCTAAAGACCTAAACCATGGAAAGCGGACTAAACTCGCTTTACTTTATGCTTTTGATCACACTTCTAAACTTGTGTAAAATGGAAAGAGTCATTAATGGGTTTCAATTGGAACATTTTTGGTTTCTCCAGCCAAAGATACATTCATTTCCCTTATCATGCACAGTTCCAGATAGAAGGATATCTTTCCCACAGTTTGCTTACTCATTTTTTTGCCTATGGCACCATTCCATTCCTTTCCACCCACAGCTCAATCGAACGAAAAACTCTCCCAAAACTCATGAGAAATTGCTATCACACAGAAACAGAGCCAACTCTGCATTCCACATGTACCCTAATGGGTTTTAGGACAGGACCACATCCCACATGATGACATCATTGCCCACCAATATTATGACCATTTTAGGAAACCCTTTTCCCAGCTTGATATAGTGCTGTTTCATCCTTCCCACCGCCACCAGCAGCAGCCTTGTAACTGAAGGACCACCAAAATTTAACTTGATTCCTTTCTTCAATGAATGGCTCTCCTTCACAAGTTTGGATGTGTTTGTGTATGAAGCTAGGCTAGGGGCAGATCCTTAGATGCATGTATAAATCTAGTAACCTGCCAATTTCTTTGATGGGTTTGCATCTGATCTAAGGACTGTTTTAGGTTAACCTTAACAAGAACTGGGGAACCTCCAAATCTGGGTATGTCGTTGACTGATACATTTGCTCATAAGAACAGAGAATTTCAGAGCTAGGGCAGCTGACTTCATATGTTTTGATGTGAAAGTGAAACATTATTGATTTTGCGGTTCATGGGGTGGAGGTTTTAGTCAATTAAAACATAAGAATTTGGGATCTATCCACAAAATAACCCATAATAGTTGAATTATGTGGAAAGTGACTCCTCTTCTTCTCATAAGATAAGGATCAGCTGTCATGTCCACACCAAGAGACTTGATATGTGACAGAGACTCCCAGGGCTATAATAATCAGAAGGACCACAAACTAAAGCTAGGTTTAGCTGGGTCAATTTTCCCCCTTAGGTTGCATGTTTTTTTGTTATTTCCACTTCATCAATCAGCCCTACTCAATTGTCGTGCATTCTAGGTCTTAATTACAATCAACTACATGGATTAGACGACACAGAATTCATTAAATTTGAACTAATCTTCTGCATAGCTGTTAGCCGGTCACTTGTTTTCTTTTTCTTCTGAACATGATAGCTATTATGCTGCTCTACCAACCAAAAAAAAAAAACTGTTATGCTGCTAAAACAGTAACTTTGATGCCGGAGCTTTCAGCAAGTTAAATTATTTTACCCATTTTACTGGGCTTGAGTTTTCACATTCTAGACAAGTGGAAGCAAGCCACCTGCACCTGGGAGAGAGCGAAGAGTATCATCATTCATAACTCAAGGCAACTTATGGTCGCTGCAAAATGGTACAAAGAGCTCTACAGTGAGGACTTGGTTTCTTTTTGCAATTCTGTTCATTAAAGGCAGACCACGATACTGTTGGCTGTGTTTCAGTCTGGTTTCTGTGAGCTTTGTTTCCATCTCAAACTACACAAATGAGGGTTAAGTTTCGCTGCATACCAAGCGAAAACCTGGTCAGAAAGACTTTGCAGAAGTTTTTGGGATCTTCTTCTTGCCTTCTCAGAATAATGAGTCAGTTTGACACCAAAAAAGGAAGGCAGATCCTGCTTTGACGCTTTAAAGAAGTTGAATGAAGCTAGTTAAGAGGCTAATTTGACAAAGGAACAAAATGTTGGCAAAGAAAGGTAGGTAAAATGCACAGGGAAAGACAAACACAAGAATGGAAACAAGGCATATGCCAACAGTTATAGATCGCCTTATTGTTGAACCTGGAGCTTTTCATATGTTTAAACTTGCATGGTAAACGGTGAACAGAAGTACAAAACAATCACCTGGCTTTTTGGCAAGTAGGGGAAGAAAACATTTTGATCATAAAGTTGCTTCTGGCAATTTGGAAAACGGTGAACAGAAGTACATTCATGAAATTAACAACCAGGAGTTCAAATTAGAATACCCAACTGGATGATAAGAGTTATTCCTTGTTTCACAAGCTGGGATCATATGGTAAACTTCATGATACTCCATGCTTATTCATGATGAAAGGTGAAAACTTTATTGCAAACCATCATCGCTTCACAAACACACTACATATACATATTCACATCCCCTGATTTTAATATCTACACATCACCTGATAGATGCTCTGCCAGAAAGCCAGGTGATTGTTTCGTTCCCCTACTTGCTAGAAGCAACTTTATGATCAACATCCTTATGAATGATCAGTTTCTTCTCCTTGACTGCTTTTCGGAAACATCAGGAGGAGGTGCCTGGAAACCGATATTTTCAACTGCTCCAACTGTATTGAACAGTCGCCTCTTGTTAACCTCTTCCACTAATGACTGGTGCAGCAACTGGCTGTGAACATCGACTAGAGACTGGTTCCTCATCAAGCGGGCCCTTCTGTCTCTAGAGCTATGCCCTCCTTGGTGTTGGTGTTGCGACTCGAGCAATGCCATGCAATTTTTGTAGGCAGTTCTAACAAGTGCTTGCCCCTCGGATTTCGAGTTTCCTGTTGGAAAAAGTCTTGTTGAGTTGTGAGTTCTTGACATGATGTGATGTTTATCTCTCCTTGTGCTTGTGTGATCATCATCGACACAAGAGTAATTAAAGATGGAATGTGATGATCCTGACTGTGAAGAGCTTTGCGAGCTGGCATCATCATAGTACAAGTTATCTGCAACAGCAATTGTTTCCAATTGATATTGCAGGCTTTGAAAATGTTACCATATGACCTACCTTGTAGTCTAAAAATACTATTTGAATGCAGATTTACCACAAACTCCTCCATCAATCTTACTCTACCCCTACTCAAGCATAATTCATAAAAAATTCCTTTTGTTTATCTATGTATAAGGATGCATTGACTATTCTTGGCTTACTGCAAGCCATGGTTATTGTAAATTTACTTTTAGTTGCAAATTTAGTCAATAAACTATGAATCTGGTTATATATATACGGGATGGACAGGTTCAAGCTATCATGAAGCTATGCATTAGGGTCCAAATTAGTCATTTACATTTGACTTCCTTTCCCAGAAAAAGTAGTACTAAATGCAACATCAAATAAGTACAGTGTTCATAAATATACCTTGTGGCCCAAGAGTTACGCCCATGAATGATGATGCCTGGGAAGATGAAAATGAAGAGGAAGATTTATAAGCATGACTATGATCATCATAGTCACAGTGCTCAAAAGTATGATTTCCTTCATAATCAGTGAGTTCCCAGTTTGGCACCAGAGCTGAAATCTCTTGATCAATCATTCCAGCAATTTCAGATGGTTCCCAATCAACAATGTCAAGCTCTTTGACCATCTCTGTTGCAACATCCATCGGAGTATCATGTAGTATATCAAATGGAAAGAACACATTCCGAGCAGAACCTGCAAGCAAAACGAAACATGAAGCCATTATCAAATGAGCACAACCTTCAAAACAGACATGAGTAGATAGATGACAATGGGTCAACCTGTTAGATATGTTGACCCCATCATACCAATCCATTTGAGTAAGGGTTGTACCCAACTGCTCTTTTATTTATATACGGATTAGGTTGGATCTAATTTGGGTCAGACACATTTGGATCCGCAAACCACATCAGCATACTTGTTCAATAATCTTCATCAATGCAAATTAAGTACACCGTTGTAATACTATCAAACCCACAACGAATGATGAAACGGGTATCCGTACGACACAAAGCCATCCATTGAATTTGGATCAGACCCACACCGATATCAATTCAACCCGTATCAGTTGGATTGGGTTGGATAACCAACATTTGAGTTTTTTTTTCTGTCAACCCCAAGTAGATTAGCTCGAGTGTGCAAGAAAGTGAAGAACAAAAGCTGCATTAGAAACATACCATCTATGTTGACAATCTGCACTTTAAGAAAGATGGTATCATCTTCAGTATTCAATTTCCCTGTGATTTTCATATCTGTCCTAGGTGGGTCATCATCATCCTCATCCAACTGCAACTTATCCATTTCTCCATTGTTCAAGAAAGGTTTTGGACTTTCAATTCCTTTAATAACAGGCTCTGGTGCCAGAAAAGGATCTAACAATAGATCTTTTGCTGATACTCTATTTGAAGCAGCAACTAAACATTTCCCAATGAATCTCTGTGCTTCAAAGTCGTCGAGCCTATAGTAAGATGCTGGTAGTTTTCCCTGCATCAAGAAGGTGACATACATGGTAAGCCTAGCTACCAAAAACTAAACAAACTGAATAAAGTGACAAAAAGGAGACATACTGAGGTCACTTTCTTGTATATCTGTGCTGGATTAACACATTCACTATAAGGGTATTCAGTTGTCATCATCTCCAAAACACACATCCCAAATGAGTAGACATCAACTAGCTCGTTGTAATCTTCTTCATATAATTCTGGAGCCATGAACTCCGGTGTGCCTAGTAGTTGTTTGAAAGTTTAGAACTTTTTTTATAACAAGCAGGAAAAGGAGGCTACTTTTAACTATCATCCCCTTCTTTCCATAAGGGAGAGAAGCAAGTACCTATTACACTGTGAGCTGATTGGCTGTCCCGAAGAACAGCTGCAAGGCCCAAATCACCAATCTTGACTTGTCCAAGATGACCATTTACAAAAATGTTGTCACATTTCAGGTCTCTATGAATTACTGGAGGATCATGGCCATGTAGGTACACTAGGCCTTGTAAGATTTGCCGAGCCCATCTCTTTATAGCTCGCATGCTCACTTGCCGGTATTTCCTCCTGTACCTGCAAGTCAGGTTGAACAGACAGTTCTATTACAACAACTTCTGGAAGAAGGTGATCCTTAAAGCAATGGACTTATAAGATCATTACTCTCTCAGAGTCCCAGAGGTAAACATCTCAGTGATGAAGTTGAAAGTCCGATGACGAGTATCAATCCATGAGGTATAGAAGCGAATGATGGAAGGATGGTTTAGGGTACTGAGAAGATGAACTTCCGAGTAGAGCCTCTGCAAATCATCTGGCCTGCGAAGCACGTCATTGAGTTTGACCTGGTTCCATGCTACTTCCAATCCAAGGAATTCATCAATTGCCTTGTATACCTTTTTCATTGCTCCTTTACCAAGTACTTCATTGAACTGTCCTCCAAAATATACAATCAATAACCTTTATCAGATTCAACTCTTCAACAATTGTCAGCCTGGTTAATCGAAGTGATCAAAGCCATCTCTTACAGTAACAAAAGCATAATTATTCATTCATAGGATAGGAGAAAGGAAAGGTCAAAATAAAAACCTAAGCAAAAGCATACACATAATAATATTTTAGGATATATTATTTTATGTACAAAGATGCCGTGATGTAATCCAACTTGGGTCCATCAATACTTAAGAACCCAGTAAAGAGTTGACCATCTCTAGTTTAATGGGGGAAAACAGCGTCATCAGAAGTTGGAAGACCCAAGGAAAAGAAAAACTAGTAGCTCTATCTACAACATTGTCATGAGGGCAACTAAGTACAGGCCGCCATTGAACAAATATTCTTTAGATAGGAGCTTAAGAAACATGACAAAAACATAGCTAGAGCAAAACCATTTATTCTCAAATAATTAAACAACAATTGACGTTCTTGGCTGGAGATGAGCACAAAGAAGCATGCAAACGGATAATATGTAATTAGTTCATATCCCTATCGGCCCTGAAAATGATGAAACAATACTCACTCGTCCATAACGGCCGGTGGGATCAGTCTCCACGTAGCTATGATCGGCGGCAGGGCGGTCACGGCCGTCGCTGGCGAGCTTCACTGCTGTCTTTCCGTTCATGGTTTTTATGCCCGCGCCCAGAAACTTCAAATTTTAATTTCAGTGAACTCGAAAAAGCTTACTCAAACTTTGAAACTAAGGCAATAATTATACAATCGAGGAAGGAAACAGAGCGAAGAAAGTAAACAGAGAGCTAAAGGAGAAAGAGGGGTTGGAAATCAACTGATCCTCGGTTTCCCGTCGTGGTTTTCGTGGGAGAAGAGGCGAAAGAGGAGCCAGAAGAGGCGGGAGTAATCAATACGGAGCAGGATCCAACCCGAGCCGGCCACCAACTCCGCCGTACGTGAGAAGTGGGTGTACTCTGTTTTGGCAACCATTTGATTTGTACCAGAGAGAATTGACAAATATCCCTTATTTTGTTTGTTTGAATCCTGGTGGTGCCCTTACTTTGAGTGGGGTAAGCGGGGAGGGAAATGACAAAAAAATTCCAACACGGAAGTGAAAGAAAGGGAGGGAATTTTTTGTGGGTATATGTTATCTGGGCACTGTCTTTTTCGGTGGTGGGGTTTGAGCTTTGAATTGAAAGGAAGAGAAGGTGAAAGTGAGACAATTATAATCGGCCCTGCTTTAGATGGAGAGAGAAAGAGACGAAGCAGGGGAAGGTATTCTGAACTTGAAGAACCTGTGGATGCGCTTTGCTGAATGCATTTGCGTATGGATCGGCAAAGAGAGAGGAAACCAGAGGGAGACGATGATGATTTTGGAGAAGATGAAGATTCTCAACGGCAAGAAAGGGGAAACAGGGGAAGGGTTCTTCTGGGGAATGAGGATAGGAGGAGAGAGGGATATATAACAAATTTTGCAAACTGGTAGGCAGTGGATGGTGGACTGGTGGTGGTGGTGATGGCCGCAACAGGCAGTAATGCAACAGCAAGCAGCGGCTCCTCCTCAAACCTCAATAATGCCAAAACTGGGCAGGTCACATTCAATCAAGTATCAACATTCAACAGAATTCAAACTCCCGGATTTCCATACCTTTTACGTCCAACTAGGGATGGCAATTTACCCACCCATGGGTATTTTTGCCCAAACCCAATTATACCCATTCATATGGGTATGGGTATGGATTTATTCTATATGGATTTGGATAGTGTTTGGGTAGGTGGAGTTGGGTTTGGATTTTATTTTTGGGTATGGGTTGGGCTTGGATACCCATCTCCTTGGACCCACCTGTATATATTTTTTTATTAGGTGTTAAAATGTAAAGCAAAATTTTTAATGTACTAAAATATAATTTTCCACATATGATGTTGAACCTATTTGTATCTTCTTAAAAACTTCAGGTACTAAAATGTAATTGGCCGGCCACATCACCTCGCTGTACGCCAGCTGCTGCAACCCGCCATCCCCAGCCGAATCTCCTCCGCCGGCGCCAGAAATCGCAGGCGAAGCCCCCTGCTTCTCCACCCCCACCTATTCCGCCGCCGGATCCGGAGCTCCTCCCTTCGGATGATGAACAACGTCCCAGCAGCCACCAAACCCCCAGCCACAATGCCGCCGACGATCTGCCCCTGCGGACCCGCGAGCGAAATCGAGAACACGTTCGGATTCGGCGCCGCCGCCGCGCTCTGTTGGGGGAAGAAAGTTGCCGAGATGGGGCGTTGAAGAGGTGGGCGCGGGAGGGACTCGCGGACGTAGCGGGAGGCGAATGTAGAGTGGACGGAGACATCGGATTGGGAGGAGATCTTGGAGAGCACCATTGTTACTGGTTGGACTGTGGATTGCAGACTTTTGATTTTGGTTTGGTCATCACCATTATCGCCGCCGGTGGAGGGAAACGGTATCGCCGCCGGTGGAGGGTTGAGGGAAACGGCAATGTTGCCGAGTGAGTGAGAATTGAGGCAGAGGGTTTTTTGTCGAGTGAGTGAGGCTGTGAGGGTGAGGCAGAGGGTTTTTTTATTTTTCATTTTTTATTATTTGGGTAATTGGGTTTGGATTTGGGTTGAGGGAATACATGGGTAAAACCCAACTGGGCCCAACATTATGGGCATGGGTGTTGACCCATTAGCCTTTACCCATTTAAAGTTGACTTGGATTTTAAACCTGACCCACATGGGTTGGATATTTAAAACCCAATGGGTATGGGTAATTCTGCCATGCCTACGTCCAACCAGTTTGTTTACGATTTTCTATTATTTTTTGGAGCTTACAATGCGGATAATTTACCACTAAGAGTCTAAGATCCATGGTTTAAAAGGCACGCTTAGGCACGTCTAGGCGCAAGGCAATGGCAAAACGCCTCGCCTAGAGGTTTTACGCCTAATTAGATACTGAAATACGTTAATGAAATAAGGTGACATATAAGTCTCTCCTATGAAATCAATATTAAAAGAGAAAATTAACATCAACCACGAAATCAAATTTCTATATCACTATTTTCAATATCTCAAGAACTTTGTGAGCTATTGAGCTATGATTCTATGAATTTGTGAGCTATGTTCTTGTCATTAAGTGTTGAGTAAGTTATTAATCATTTTAAATGAAGTGAAGAAGTGTTGTAGAGTATTATTTCATTAGTCATGTAGTGCGAATAGCTATTATTCTTCCAACGTCTAGGCACGCATAATCTACTCCTAGGCGAGCTAGGCGCTAGGCAAAGCCTCAACGCCTGCCTTATGCCTAGCGACTTTTTGAACCTTGACTAAGATAACAAGTTACGAGTCCAATACTAGTATAGGGAGCGGTTACGGTTGTAAATTGGGTATGAAAAAATAAATTGTATTAATTAATTTTTTTAATAAATTACATTTTAGATAGTTACAAAAATTTATTAATTACAATTATTTTTTTTCTCTCATTTCCGTAATCTCCAGCCATATCTAATTTCCTTATTTTTCTCAATCTTTCTGCAAAAATAAAATAAAAACACGAAATCACTACCAATCCATTAGACAACCACTACCACTTTGAAAAACATCAATTCCATTACAGAAATAAATTTATACCATTACACGAAAACTACTAATATAAATCTATCCCATTTCACAAAAACCAATACCATTTCAGATTTAATCAATATCAATACATGCAAATTAATATCATTACATGATAATCAATACCAATGCGATAGAAACAATACCAATGCGAAAAATCACTATCATTTCACGAAAATACATACATTTACACATCCAGAGATCTAATTAATCACAGAAGCTAATCACAATCAAGATCTGAAATTCGACCAAGGGTTTGTGATGAACAGTTCTTTGTTGATCTTCTTCACACAGAGAGAGAGAGAGGGAGGGAGAGAGAGAGAGAAAGAAGGATGGAGGGGAGGGATTGGGTATCGTGGCGGAGGGGTAGGAGGGGAGGGAAAAGGGTAGGCGCCTAGGCGGAGGGTGGGACGGGTGGCCGTTTGCAGGCGAGAGGGGAGGGCGTGTTTTTTATTTTTTAGTTGTTGACGGCTAGAAGGATTGTAATAGGGTTTGTATATAATATATAAAATTTCATTTTTTAAGGGATAGTAATCAGTTGTGATATTTTTTTTTTTTTCAAAATTATCCTTCATCTAATCTTTACCGTCAATATAAAAATAGAGTGAAATAAAGATAATGAATGATTTAGATTATGGTAGCCACCGTGGTTACTCAAAATTAAGTAACCACGCTAACTCATTCCTACTAGTATAGGGTTGGAAATTTTAGGGCTGAAAATTGCCCTCACCCGTCCTTGAAGGGTCAAGATGTATAACTGACCCGTCTCGTCCCTGTCTCCTTCTTCACCCTGACTGACCCTCAAGGGTTGGGACGGGTCGGGTTAGTTGGTTGACCCTAATCTACACACTACTTTGTTTACAAATTACGTTTTGGTACCTAAAATTATTTTTTCTTACAATTTAGTACCTAAATTTTATTTTTGTACAAATAGGTCCTTAAATTTTGATGTTAAAATTACATTTTGATACCCAAATATTGTTATTTTTACAATTTAGTACCTAAACTTTTAAAACTTTTAAGGGTCACGTTATCAAAAAGTGACTCGTCCCGATCCTTATAGGGTCAAAAACTTACTCGTCCCAAAACTGACCCTATAGACAAACTGACCCGTCCCGACCCTCAGGGACGGGACGGGTACGTGGGATTTTAGGGTCAAACTTATTTCCGTAGAAATTGGGGTGTGTAACATTTTCCGGTAAATTTAGAATTATGTTATCGAGAACTCGTTTGTAGTGGGGTAGTGGTAACTATTACTCACTACAGTTTGCGATTTGGTTGTGGTATTCATAAATTTATATTATTGAATAGGATAATATGGTAATTAATATTAATAATGTGTTTCTTCTCACATAAAAACAAAAACATAAATAAAAAAGTTACGAAAATGTTAAATAAACTATAAATCGATCGGTCCTCCTTTTAATGAGTTGATTAATTTATCCAAATACTTTTATTCACTTGGTTTTGTTTTATAGAATAAAAATTTCTCACACAGACTCTGCTTATTTGATAAAAGTATCTCACATAGACGTTGTGTATTGACTTGGTTTTATTTTATAAAGTAGGTGTGTATTTGACTTTGCTGGCTACTTTAATTTTTAGCCTTTCACTTTTCATATACTATAACATTAAGAAGCGGTTAACTACCAATCACAAAAACCAATATTTTACTAACCACACCCAACCCACTATCTAGAAACTGTAGGTATAGTTATCGATAAAGTGTGTGGTTTGCTGCGGGTTGGGGGACCCAAACTTTCACCCCCTAAGTATAGTAGTATGGATAGACATTTATTTTTCGATATATGATTTTAAAATATTTATAATGTAAATTTTTTTCATTCAAGCGATTTGTAGTAAAGCAGTATCAAGGTAGATTTTCAGGTCTTATTTTCAATTGCTCTCCTTAGACCATATCCAATAGAGAGCGAAAAATGGGGAAAATAGAATTTTGGATTTTGGTATTTAAAGGGTAAATTGCAAGGTTGGTCACTGAGTTTACTAAAAAGATTCATGTTTGGTCACTAAAAATATTTAATTCCATTCGTGGTCACTGAGATTAGTTAAACTTTTCAAATTTGGTCACTCTTCGTCCAATTCCGTTAACTTTGTCTGATGTGGCAGTCAACTCTCAAAGTTGACTGTTAACTGAGTGACGTGGCAATTAAAATATAATAAATAAAATTTAATCATTACCATTTTCAATTAATTTTCACAATAAAATAAATAAATAAAACTGGAAAGAACTACCGGTGTTGAGATCGTCGACTTGCTGCGGAAGCACACCTGCTGAACTCGAGGACGCGGCTAGAAAAGTGTGGCGGTTCCGGTACTCGTACTGGAAGCAGCCAGAGCTATGTGCTGACGAAGGGTGGAGCCAGTTCGTGAAGGAGAAGGGCTTGAAAGTCGGCGACATTGTCAGCTTCCAGAGATTCGCCGCCCGGCATGAGCAGTAGTTGTAGCCTATACATACATGAACTCGAAGAGCAAGAGTAGTGGTAGTAGTGGCAGCGGGGGAGGAGGAGGGGTTGGTTTGGACCGAACCAAGTGGTTTGCTCGGTGGTTCAGATGATCCGGCTATTCGGGGTGAATATATTTAGACTTTCTTGGAGCGGCGGCGGCAGTGAGGGTGGCGGTGGGTGTAATGGGAAGAGGTCGGTGAGAAGGAGATGGAGATTATGGCGTTTGAATATTGCAGTAAAAAGTAGAGGTTCATTGGAGCTTTGTAGCATATCATCCTCACAAATTCACAATACACAGTTCCAATCTTTTTCACATTTTATTTTGTAATCCCTTTTCCTTTCCTCCTTGTGGGTAATTTTGTTCGTAATTTCCCTTTCTCTCTTCTCCAATCAATTTTTGAATTGTAGATTTTAGAATCTGTCGAAGATGTGGAGATAGGAGAAAACGGAAGTGAATAGAAAATAGAAAGGTTAGGCCCTGGATCGACTGTGTCGAGCTGGCTGACACCAATGTCGACTTCCTCGAGTCCGTATCGACGGAGCTCTTGCTGGCGACGGAGGGCGACGACGATCATCGCGAGGAGGTGGTTGAGAAGGTCACCTTGATGCTCAGCGCTACGGTGACCAACCAGCAGATGTGCGTCTACGGGTTGGTGCAAAGCGGCGGCGCGTTGGTGGTCGGGGGCCGGCGTTGGGTTTGTCGTCGATGGTGAACACGACGCGGCTGTACAGCTCATATTTTGTAATTCAAATAAATTTTTTCAGTTTATTTTATTTTACTTTATTGCGAAAAGGAGTTGAAAATTTTAAAAGATTTAATATTTATTTTATTTATTATTTTTAATTGCCAGGTCACTCATTTAACGGTCAACTTTGAGAGTTGACTGCCACATCAGACAAAGTTAACGGAATTGGACGGAGAGTGACCAAATTTGAAACGTTTAACTAATCTTAGTGACCACGAATGGAATTAAATATTTTTAGTGACCAAACATGAACGTTTTTTGTAAATTCAGTGACCAACCTTGCAATTTACCCGGTATTTAAAATACGGAAAGGAGAAAAAATGAATGAGGTGAAAAATATGAGTGGGAATCAGGGTTGTCAAATCGAAAGAAGTCGTTAAGCCAGTTTAACAAGTGGTTTAAATTTCAATGGTTGGATCGAATTTAACTAGTTTAATAAGTTTTTATACATATCCTAAAAATTTACATATTTAAGATAGTAATTAGAGATTTTTATGACTGAAATACAATTAAAGTTATATGTATTTTTTAGAAATCGTTTGGATAATGTGTTAGTTATGTGAGTTATTTCTACCCAAAGAACTCATTTGGCTTCACAAAATTAAAATACATTATTTCATGGAAAAATATGATTTGCAAATTATTCAAAATGTT